GACAAGCTCATTCATTGTTAGCCCTTATATAATCAAGGTCATCCCTGTGGCAAAGTGAATTGGTGGCAGCGCAGCGGCTTACTTAGTGCGTCAGGAAAGCAGGATTGTAATTGCCTGAGCTGCTGTGTAAGAGAAACTGCCGGCGAGTACCTAGCAAGTCCTTTAGGGAGTCGAAAATTGGTTCCCTCGTGATTGATGTTTTTAATTTGCAAGATGTCTTGTTCTATTGATTTTATTAACGTGGACCAAACTCTGATATTTTGGTATTGCTATTTATTTTAGAGACAAAGCTACGCCAGAGTCTCTTTTAGGTTGTATAATACTCATACGAGCCCGAGCTCTTGCTTGTTGTTAACTTGCAAAAGTTCTCGCTTTGTGATGTTATTTTGAAAAGCATGTAGAGCCTTATTGCGTCGGCACAGCGTCCCATGCGGCATCTGGTGTCCACCATGGAACTTCTATGCTTAACGCTATCTGTCGAAGTTTTAGGAAGATAGCCAAGCTGTTCTATAATCGAATATGAATATGCCTACTTTATCATCAATGGTCTCTCAAACTAGTTCGAGCTGACCTCCGTGTGAAGGCGACCAGTCTGCTCTTTTTACGTTAAAGTTAGGCGCGAAGGCGTTCTCACTGTGTCGCATGAATATTTAATCAAAATAGGAAGGTGATCGTTCCCAACGAGTCGTCAATGGGTGCCACAGGCACTTAGTGCTATGATGAAGAGACCAGGATAGGTCAATCAAGCCTCAAATCCGGTATTATCGTCCACCAGCGTGGGACTACCATCGTTAGAAGGAACTAAATCAGACTCATAATCAGCTAACTACTTGCTCACCCTACCATCCACGCAGGAACCCCATAAAGTATGATGAGCATTAAAATCACCTAAATTACTTTATTTGTGGCAGACGTTCCTGAAGAGCAAGAGTCATTCATAGATTATCACTGTATCAGGTGGACAATAAACATGAACATATAGCCAGATACCGTGCATTAATTTGTAACTTTGCATTCGACAAACCAAAGTAGATAGAAATTAAAAGGCACTTCTGTAAAAAGGTGATGTTTTGGTGGATTACAGGCGACTCCGCCTCCACCCCTACCCTCCGGTCCTGCCGACATAGATGGTAGTTCTCAGCGAAACAACTCGTCAGAGACGCATCTGTTAAAGGTGTTTCTTGGAGAAACTTAAATGGGAGCATAGGACGAGGCTAATAATTAAGGTCATTAATTTAGATCTAATACTCGACAGTTCCATGATAATGGTCGACGCGAAGATTACGTTTTATGGGGTTTGGAAGTGCCTTGTCCACCAGTTTAATTTTCTTTTTAGGGAGGGAGGTCTTCCTCCTCTCCCTCGCTACCCAGGTCCTCCCATGCGTTATTTTGGAGACAGTAGCCTCAATGTCCTGCGTTCGCTGTCAGGGAGACGCCCGGTGGAAGATGATCTGTTCGAGAAACAGACCAAACTACCAGGCGAAGTTCCTAGCAGGAGCCGCCTGGACGAGAAGGTGCGATCCAGATGTGTTTTGTATCACCCTCCATTATGATGCTGCTGCTTTTGCTGGGTTGATTCAAGCAATTTGTTGAATTGTATTTTCAATTCTTTAATTTGACTCTCCCTTTTCTGAATAAACCTTGACCGTTTCCTTTAACTCTGCAATTTCTTATACTTAGCTGCAAGTCGACTGATCCTGCCGCACGGGGACGTTGTTAGTTGCTAGAAGCGTTAGAAGTATTGGGTTTGCTGGTCAAACCTCAACTTTCCTCTTGGCTTTCACGGTAACTAACATCATGCCCTCTCATGTATGCTAATATTTCAGTCCTCATCAAGCTGCTGCACTCGGCAGAGCAGATTGATGGGGACTCCACAGTTAGCACACTTGAGAGTTTTATCCGTACATACAGCAGTTGTCATGAGCTCAAGCACATTTACCACAAGTAAATTTACTAGTATCCTATTCAGTAGCATCGTAATGAAGGTGTGTCCACATTTTTGGCATCTATTACAGCGCATAGGTCTTTGAATGTAAGGTCGCACTGGTGGACACGTTCATATCCAACTGTGACATACTCAGGAATTTCACTTGAAGCAAAAGTCAAAAAATATAAACAAAAAAAAAAAAAAAAGCACAAGTCCGGTTTTGTCGCACATTCCAGCCTTTCTTGGTAATGCAGTTCACATCCACTACCGATTGGTCTTCATATTTTCCAGAATTTCACCTCCGCCATTGTTCTCAATCCCTGCTAAAGATTACTCCCTTGCAGTATTGGGTCCAATGGGGATAGTTACGTTAACTTAAATCATGAATCGCGTCAGTTTAAGCAAAGTCTAACCTGGCAGTTGAATTGCACTTTTACAAGGAGGCTGTACATCCTCGCCATTTCTGACGAAATCAAAAATCTGCCGTCCATGACATCAAGGACCTTCTTGATGATGATAGGGCTCACACTCAAAGCGGACTGATTTCACATTCACGCATTTGACAGTCAAATACCTGCATTCTTGCGAGGGATAGAAACGAATGTCGTTCTCGTTGTCAGCAGTAGGGGTTCCAGTTGTTCAGGGTCTCATTAGTCTTAGGAGACAGAGTCATGGTCGTCCCCTCTCCTTGAGGAGGAGAAGGGGTAGCCGCGGGATCATCATGATGGGTATCGGACGAGCCGACCCCTGGGCCCGTGCCGTTGTCTGAAGGGACATGTTCACCCCTTAATAGTGTTAATCAACCAACAGCAAATAGTAAGAGAAGAGTATGGCAGTTCACGTCCGCTACCCCCAATGGAAGTGGTTGCGTTCTCCAGTCCCAAAGAGGATCGAGTCTGTGGAAGACACCTCCTTACCGCCAAACTTCGCCTAATGCGAAGGGCGGTAATTCGATGCCCACCCCCAAGGAATACGGGAGCCAACAAGGTACTCCGGTGGCTCAGGAATTCACATGAGAGAGGAAGAGAATTCAGAAAAAGAAAAAGTGCGCCCAAAGGACGCCCCAGATACTGGGCCTCCCTACCAGGGCGTCAATGCACCGTAAGGGTACCTGGTGTAGAAGAGAGCGCGGGTCTGAGGTGGGGTGCTGACTACGCATACCTGGTAGTCTCGTGGACCTGCAAAACAAGCCACTGAAGGTGGCAGCAAAGCACAAATTGCTGAAAATTCAGAAGAAATCAAATTTACTCTACGTAATTACGTTAAAACTCAGAAGCAATAGCGCCGAGCGCGACGAGAGGCCCCGTAAACCAGGGTAGCTCATGGGACACAGGCAGAGGTTATGCTGCTGCGTCAGAAAAGAGGTATCGAGTCTAGTCAAAGTCTCAAACACGAGTCGAATCGCACTATAGAAGTGACTATAAAGTATGATCCATGATTTCCAAAGACAAGTTCACTCACAGACTATACGTTTTACTGAGGAACTTCGTTCTACTATACCGGATTTTCATGGCGTTAACATGTTGGTATCATGTATGAGTAATATGTGCCCACCTAGTTTGGCCATCCAAAATATTTGCATGTTCTACACCTATTTGGAAAAAATACTGTAAAGCAAAATATATGACGCGGAGCAAAGTATATTAAAGAGTTAAAAAAGATGATCTTATTAAAGGGTGAGCTACACGAACTATCTGAAGAACTAATAAGCCAGGAGGTGGAAAACTAAACTAAACCACATCTTACCAGAAAGCACATTCTTCATGAAAGTTCAATGAAATCTTTAGGTGCATATATATAGATACTGGTAAATAATTTTAATTTTATCCAACGATTCAAGAATCACAAATAAAAACTCTATTTGACTGAACCATGATAATTGAATTTCAGTTATCATAAGCAACCTTTCAAATCCAATATATTGTAATGTACAATTATATTTAGTGTAAATTTGACATCATGAACTACAATGTTGCTTTTAAGTGTGCTAAATGCTTGTAAAAGATAAAACACTAATATCTACTTCCACGATAAGCCTTCTTGCTCTATATTTATCGCTCTAGTATCCTCAGCTACCTTGCTGGTCAATGGGGGAACATTCTAGAACTCTGGTTTCCCTTCAAAACGCATAAATCTTGGCCTTTTAATAAAGATTTCCGTGGAGGGAACCAACCAATGAGTCTACTCAATTTTTCTATAGCACTTAGGTGGGTTCATTTAAATTACATATTAAGACGTATATATTTGAACTATGTACATAGTGCAAATGGATTCAATTTTCTATCTATCATGGTTAGAATACCATTTCCATTGAGCTAGACCCAAAGAATCGGCCCTTTCATTATCATCTAAAACCTACACCTTGAGGTTTAAGAAGTCTTCAAAACCATATTCTTTGTGGAAAGTACTATATTCTTGAAACGTTGAGTATGCCCCAAATCGTCATACTGACTCGCGGAGAAAGAATCGACATTTTCATTTTTATAAAATTGTACGTTAATTTTACATGCGATATAAATAATTTCTTTGATTACTGTGCTTTGTAGATTTCTATATTTAAGTATTTCTCAAAGGGATTACCCCATTACCTTATTCCTAAGATAACGTACAAGAACATCAACAATGGATAAAATAAAATAAAAACAAAGAGCAAAGAAATTTATAAGATCACCTAAATTAATATGAAAAATCGCAACTACTGATCAATTTATATAAATGACAAAACTAACAATTGCTTCAATATAAGTGGTAGTTATACTGATGAAAAAAAAATAACAAAAAAAAAAAAAAAAAACTATTGTCAATGTCTGGATATTGCATTTTCAGCAAAGGGGCATCTATTGTTCGAAACTGGATAGCTAATACAGATTACGATATAATAGATAGGTATTATTACAAAATAATTTACGAGAATAACTGAGACCCACAAAACAGTTACTTTCTAGTGGGTTGATTATCATCTAAATCCACGGGATATATAAACCATAATCCACTTAAGAAATGCGCCAATGACTAATCTTTGTCTCGGCAACAGTTAAGAGTAATTTATTGTAAAATACGGTTGCATAACGATAAGGGGAAGCGCGACGCAGTCCCCCGCTAACAAAAATTGCACACTCGAGTTAAACCACATTCGGTGAATCCAGGGGTCAGCGCCACCCGGACGGCAATGGGAGCCTCGTCCTGGGAGACCCGCCTCGTGATCACCGGTATCTCATGTGAAAGTAAAGTATGCTTTCACGTGCCGCCGCCGACCACGATCGCTCACACTGAGGAACCCCGTGCTTTGAAATACTTCTTATAAAAACTATCTAGTCACACTTAACGTTGCTATGACAATCGAGTGAAAGTGAAAGCTAATGAAGATCAGATTTCAGAATCTTATATAGGAAAAACTCATGAGAAATTGCAAAAGTGCAAG